TAGCTCAGCACAGTAGTCAGGAGATGGTAAGAGGAATTTTGGGACAACCCTTGGTTCTAGATTTCCGGGAAGATTTCACCTGGTGGCGCACAGTGATAAACCTGAGGTTTGATGTCTCCTGGCACATTTACCCTGGTGGTGGGGGTGGAGTGTATTTCTTCACAGAGAGAATTTCTTCTGAGTACTGCTGGAGCTCATGTGTCTAAAATTCCTCTGTGGAGTATGTAATGTTTCTCCTCCCCCCCAATTAATATTTGCTACCTTTGAACTTTTCTGTTATTGCTTTTCAGCCTTTACACAGGACTTCGCATTGGTTTCTATTAGTTACCTCATTTACTAGTTTGGTGTTTTCATTCTCTCAACACTGATGATTTTGCTGCAGATTGAAAACATAAATATTTAGTGGAAAATTCAGTAATTTGAGGGCTGAGTATACTGTGCCATGATGAGATGGCCAACTCTGGGTAGTTTCTGGGTAGAAAATTTTTAGAGTTAGTAGGTTAAATTGGGGGTTTGAGTCAGAATGAACAACATCCTTGGTAGTTCTGGTGTGGGGTGAGTTGGTAGGGTTGACTACACCAACTTGCAATGGCTTGGGCAGAATCATTATCCTGTAGAGAATTCAACTTGCCCGACAATTGCAAGATACAAACAAAACAAAGCAAGGACATTAAAAATGATATGGGGTTTCAAACAAAACGATAGGAATTAACAGTGGTTGTTATATTACATATTGTTATCTTCAACGAAGTTGCTCAGATTACCAGATGTAAGAATGGAAGATTGATCAAACCATAATTCTTTTACTAATGAAATTTTTCTTGCTTGAAATTCTCTTCCTTTTCTCCAGTACTATTTAAGCAATGTGTGGTTTCTTCAATAATTATTAAGAAGTTCCTTCATAGGTTTCTGCTAAATTGATCTACTGATTCCATGCATGTGTTCATTTGTTTATTGAATATGTTACTCATTGTTCAGATATTATTGGGCATGAAGTGCCAGAGCTGGGCTGGATGCTGGCAACTTGAAATACATGAGGCCATAGTCTTTATCCTCAGGACATTTACCACTGGTGAGTTCATTACACATTGGTCCACCTGGGCTGGGTCACTATCCAGTCATCCCTTAGTGGTCATGCAATTGATGTTGTGTTCAACTTGTTGTTTTTATTATTATCATAGTCCCTGAAAAGGCCTGTGATCTCTAAATAACTAGACATTTTCTTTAGAAAGCCTCTTTCTTCTTTCTTTAAACCTCATTATAGGGTCTGATACTTTGCATATAGTGGGCTGTAATACACTTTGTTAATTAAGGGATTGTTTCTCAGAATGAATGCATGTCATCAATTGATTACTATATATACATGTGATTTACTGGTATTGTTAAGAGAGGTTTCATAGAGACTTGAGGGTAGTTGGGGACACAATCAACTTACTTGAAAAGGTCACTGCAACACAGCTTCCATTGTCAATCTGTAGACCAGACACATCCTCTATTGTACTGGTATAAATCAGATACCAATAAGGGAACTATATTGTAAAAGTCCTGCAATGTGTTTGGCATTGGTTTTTGAAACAGGAGGATTAATTTAAGGCGATAACTATATGAGTATCTTCCCTGTGTGTTGCAACATTCAAGAAATACAATTTTGGGAAGTTCCTCTAACTAAGAACATGAATAATAACTTTCTTTCAATCTGTCAGTGAGGAATGCAATGTTAGTCAGATGAATTTCAGTGACCCCTTACTCTAGAGGGATCCCAGGGTTGGCATACATGTTTATAAATAAAACACTGTTTGCTTTGCAGCCCTGATCATTTTTTTTTTCTTTGAGGCTTTCAAATAATAGAAGCTTGTTATTTTTCAGGACAAAGGTATTTGCGGAAGAACTGATCAAACTATTATTATTAATAATCTCATTACTGAGGCATTGCAATGCTTTTGTGCATTTGAGGCTACCAAAGAGATTAAAGTTTCATTCGGGAAACTATGCATACATACAGGAACAAGCAACCTAGGAGAACAGTGAGGTAGTTGTTTTCCTGGCTAAGGTACCTTGGTGTTGGAGAGAAGTTCTGCCCCATTTGTCACAGGAGAGCAACCTCTCTGGTAAGGGGCCTTCTAAGGGATTGCCCACTGAAGCTCTCAAATGTAGTCATGACAACAGGCAACCATCGTTAATGAGGTTTTTTCCTTTTTCTGCTCTTTGAAATAAAGGGTCAAGGAAAGCTCATTAGAGTCACAGGCATAGGATATGGGCAAGTGAGAGCAGATTCTGCCCTTTGCTTTGATGGGAATCAGGAGGAAGAGGGGAGTTGGGATGGGATGTAGAGACAGGCTCTCCTCTCCTATCTGTATTCATAGGATTCAGTCTCAGAATAATGAACTCAGTGTGCCAATTTTCATTCCCACACGTGCCCTGTGGTTTGCCTGTCATGGACTGGGCACTGAAGAGGCTAGAACATTAGGCCAAAGAGGCCAAGGCTGAATTGCTTCTAATAGGGAACAATGAATTTCACAGTCCTCATTCTGTTTCAACAGTAGAGTTTCTGCATAAAATACAGGATACCTAATTGAATTTAAATGTTAAGCAAGCAATATATTTTAGTGTAAGTATGTCCCAAATACTGCATGGGACGTGTAGTAATATCTCGGTTCGCGAACACTTGTATTCAGAACCACTTTGGTTCTCAAACAAAAGCGTTTGACAAAATTTTGCTTCTGTTCACAAACTCCACATCAGTTGACAAACACAACTGTGGCTGTCTTCCTCAAACAAACACAGATGTGGCCATCTTCCCCCAAATCATAAAACAATTTAAGTTCATGAACCAGTGTACCACCCTACTTATACTAAAACTTGTTATTCATTGGGAATTCAAGTTGAGACTAGGTACCTACACTGTTATTTGCTAAATCTGGCAATCCTACATAGAGCAGAATATGAAAAACAGGGGCTTACAAACACTTTTCTTATCCCCGAAAAGTTGGCCGTGAATCACCCATTGCTGACCTTTATTTTCACCACAGATTGCCACTGTAGATGATGCAGGTGGAACCTGCTGTTCCTTGAAAGCTTCTGGGAAATTGTTCCTGTCCTTTCTGGGTCTCCTCTCGCTGCTTCTCTCTCCCACAGCCACAGGACATGGTCATAAGATTATGGGCCTAAGAAGGTATCCTTGGGTGACTCAATACATCTGTGTCAGCGCAGAGAGTGGATGAAGGCAGTAACATCAGCCAGGGATGGGGGATGTGGACCTTGAAGCTGGGGAGATTCGTCTGGATGGGGTATCCACTCAGCCCTCTGAGTGGGGGCCAGTATAGGATACTGGACCAAGGATGCAACCCACTTGGTCCAGTATCCTATACTGCCCCCTGACTTGCCTTTCTTTCCCCTTTCCCCATGTCTTCCCCTCCTTCACCTCTATTTATCTACTTGCATTTTGCCTGCCAGCATCCTTCCCTGGATATCTGAAGAAGTGTACGATAGGCTTAAGATTCCAATTTGGCATTGGTTTTTAACAACAGGAGGCTTAAGTTAAGGTGATAACTATACAGATATCTTTCCTGTGTGTTGTAGCTGTTCAAGATGTACAACTTGGGGGAGTCCCCCTAACTAAGTGGTCGTATTTGCACAAGGTTTATTCTGAGAGTTTGAGAGTCTTGTGAGATTAAGCTGTGAAGGACTCCTGCACACTAGGTCTCTCAAAGTGGTCCAGGAATGGGGCAGAGGTGAAACAGGGCATGAGTTTGCTTTCTTTGTTTTGAACCACACATTCATATTAATCTAGGCTTTAGGAAACTAAACATGAAACCAGAAAGCTGCCATTTGTATAGCAGCTCAAAGCTCATGAACAACTTTCAGGGCAATATTTTATGTAATTATAACAATTTAGGAATTGATATAACCCTTAGAGCTCAGGGATATGGCCAAACCCATGACTTATGAGGAACCCAGCTGTGGTTTTTTTTTTTTTTTTTTTTTTTTTTTTTTGGTTTTTCTCCGGTACCGGGAACCGAACTCATGACCTTGCACTTGCCAGGCAGGCGCTTTTGCCGCTGAGCTAAATCCCCAGCCCTCCCAGCTGTGTTTTAAGTTCAGGCCAATATCTTCTTCCTTCTGCAGGGAGGAAGGCAGAAGTCACAAAGGTGTGTGCAGTGTGAGATGTCAATGGAGCCTGAAGCCCATGGCCAGGAGAGCTGGGTGAGAGTAAAGGCATCCTGTTCCTCACTCCATGAAGTCTTGAATGCCTGGCTAGCTCACAAGAGGGGCAGGGGTGAGCTCATCATGGAGCCTCCTTGACTGAGTCTGAGGTAACAACTGAGCCTTGGGAGCAGGCCTTAGGTCATTTGGGGATGCTTTGTTTGCTTGGGTTCTTTCCCTTCCCTACACTGATCTCACAGAAGTAAGTACCACATAGTGCAGAGTCCTGTGTAGATTTCTAGGGAACAAAGCCCTGCTGATCTTTTCTTAATAGTGGGGTTTGAGAGAATTTGGTTTAGAGGCACACACTGTGAGGCACAGGTCAGAAGTAACCTGGACAGTGAGAACTGAAGAGAGAGCTTCATAGAGCTCTGGGGGAGAGCTATAATCACTAAAGCAAATGCCCCATTTTCTCAGAAAGAAGGATTCAGTAAAATGAGAGGATACTTAGAAGTGCTTCTAGGCAAAGGATCAAAAGATTCTTTTCCTTCTTGGAAACTAAACGCTATCTCAACCGCAAGGAATATATCAGTACCATCTCTTTTAAGAAAGTAACAACTTGGAAAACAGATTTGGGGCTTGATAAAGCACATTTGAGTAAATATTTGGCAGGGGATAATTTTGATCTAAGGGCAGGTGGCAGAGTAGGGCTCGGTAACAGGTGTGGATGTGACTCAGGTAGCTGGGTGTCCTGACCTCCTGGGTTGGGTCATGTGTTCTCTGGCTCCTTCCTCTTTCCCCACAAACTGGCATTGGGAAATCCCCACTGAGCACTATAAGAAGCCCCTGGGCTCTGTGCAGAAGCAAGTGGGTCCAGCTAAGAGGACAAGATGAGCCAAGGACTTGGCTTCACATTCGCTCTTCTGTCCCTCCTTGGTCCTGGTTCTGAGACCATGGGAGTCCAGTTCTCTGGCTCTTCCTGGGTTCCAACTTCAGCTCAACCTAAAAATCTGACCCCACTTCCATGGACAGAACCTTCAGTGGCCACATCTTGGGCAGGAGGTGATGCTGTGTCCCAGGTGAGGAGCCCCAAGAAACCCAGTGAGCTATGTTCATTCCCTTTCTCTTGCCTTTTGGGGACTTGAATACAATTTCAAGGATGGCTGGAGCTGGGCATTCTAAAAGATTTACAGTGCTCTCTGTTCATTGCAGGTGCCCTGGAAATGAATTAAAACCTATGTGAAATAATTAAATTGTTAGCAAGAGAGACAATGTCCCAGTTCTCTAGATAGGAGCTTTGAAGAAAGAATCTATGCCTGAAAGTCTCAAAATGGGTTGCACATTAGGATCAGTGGTCAGGTAGATTCTAAAAGTCCTATGCCTTGGTCCTACCCATAGATCAGATATTTAAAAATTATATATATTTAAAAAGCTTTCCCCAGGTGATTGAAACATGCAGTATGGGGTGAGGACTGTTAGAGAAATGATGCTACAAGGAAAAGCTCCAGAAAAGTTTGTCCAGTTGATTTGTTGCCTAGATCCATGCCCACTTCTCCCATGTGAACAACAGACCTGCCGGGAGTGAAAGCCTCAGTCTTGTAGTGGGAATCCTGGCAGTTTTTCTGCTTCTAGTTTGTGAGGAAGATGGGTAACAGAAATAAGGCAGAAGAGTTATTGGAAAGTGCCATTACATGTGGACATTTCCTGACAGAATGTTAACTCTTTTCAGTCTTCCTTATAGGAAATCCTTAGGGCCATTTCTATGGCCAGACAACCTTAGCAATAAGCCAAACCAACAAAAATCATGCCTTAAGAAGGACTGGTCTAGTTGGTGTCCCTACATGGGATCTATAGTGAGCCCAGTTTCTTGGCCAATGAGTCTTCTTTGGGTCTTCTTTAAAGAAATGGGAATATGCATAGTGGGGGTGAGAAATGGGAGGGTAGGAAACAGTTACCCATCCTGGGTTAGACTTGCTGCTGTGTAACTTGGGGAAGAGGATCCTCACTCCACTGAAGCTCTTCCCTCTGCATTTCTAGGCTCTTCTTGCAAATCAGGCAGCTATGTCTTCACATGTGCATGTCTGAATGGAAGGGCAAATGCAAGAAGGGGAAGAAGCGGCTTTTTTATTGCTTATTTTCACTGATACTATCAGCAATATGAAGACAATGAGAATGTGGTGATTAAAAAACCACTTATATAGGACCTAGCCAGAAACCACAGTGATTGTATTTACTGTGTGCCTAATGTGGGGACTAGCTTAGGTTCATAATATATATTGTTTAAGAGGTAAGTAAATTAACAGTTCTGTTTTATTGATTGCTGTTCTTTTTTCAGTTTTGTTTCTTTATTCTTTTTTTCCACTTTTGTTCTTGGTTTTACAGGTTAATGGGTTTCATTCTGGCAAAGTTGCACAAATACATAACATACTATGAACATTTCACCCCCTCTCATCAACCGTTTCTCCTCTCCCCCCTTGCACATTTCTTAGAGGGATTTCAATGCATATAATGTATTTTGATCATATCCATTCCCCTGTTACCTGGTCTTACTCACTCCCTCTGTTATTCCCTTTTTCTTATCAAATAATAGCTTCCTGTCTACTTTCCTCTCACCTTATTTTAGATTTACATGTTAGGGAGAATCTACCATATTTGCCCTTCTGAGTGGCTTATTTCATTCAGTATAATGATCTCCAAATCTATTTTCCTGTAAATGACAAAATTTCGTTCTTTATGTATGTATAGTACTGCATTATGTATGAATGGTTTCACATTAGAGATGTAAAAACTAATGCTTAGTGAGGTGAAGTCATTTGTTGAAGCCACAATGTTGGCAACTTCTATAATTCAGCATATAGGTCTGCTCATGCTAATTTAGTTATTTCACCCAGGTTTTAACTCATTTCCAGGTTGTGCATAGTAAACGCCATCTCTTTATATGTAGTTTCCTACTTATATTTCCAGGGCGGAGAGAGATGTAGATCAAAGAGGAGAAAGTTTTGTGAATCATAAATATGTACAAGGACTCTTTGAGGTCAGATGTCAGGTGAATAATTTTGTTGCATAATACTGAACAACTTCTGGGGATAATTAGAACTTAACATTTTTTATAGTGAAGTTAACAATAAAAATTTGTTATGGATCTTTATCACTAGCTAAGCGTGGGTGAAATTATCAACTAAAATAATAGAAAATAAAGTATAGGTTAAGAAACAGAGAAATTCCAAATGCCTCTTGTCTGACAAGGAGACAAATATTTAAAAGGAGATAAGGAATGGTAATTAAATTGTACTTAGAGATTTCCTTGTAGTTTACTTATCTCCCTCTGGTGAGTCAGTATCACAACTCCAACCTCTTTTTTTTTTTTTATAGTGGACTAGGTGTCAATCCCACTATAAAACTAATCTGAGTCTGGCTGTCAGCTTGATGAGGTCTTTGGAAAGTGGAGGAAAGCCCTTTTGAAACTGTCATTGAGCAAGTTCCAAACGTATCATTTTCTGTACTTTGAAAATGTTGAGTACCATTATCTTATGCCTTACATCTTTGTGGGCACTTACACTTGGCTGCTAATGAGAACCAATTGCAGCCTTAAATCACAAGTGTGAGTTGTGCCTTTGGCTGTGGCGCTCAGAGCACTCTGCCTTCAATGAAGCGGCCCTTCCAGCCTACAGCTCATGGACCGGGAAAGGTTCAGTGCTCTGCTCCATGCAGTCATTGAAACTGTACAAACCACAGACTCCTGTGATTTTGTCGTCAGGCTGGAACCGGTTAAAAATAAAGGAAAAAAAAAAGATATGCCATCCTCAAAGGCTTTCATAGTGACAACAGGCTTAATTCCTGGGCAGGAATTGGTCTTAATCGTCTTCTAATGCCAGAGTCTGGTACATTATAGACTTTGGTAAATACTAATTGATCAAAAGCTGAGTATGTACCCAGCTGTATACACTGCTTTGTGGAACATACAGGGTCCTATTTGCCTTCCACAAGGAGGATCATATATTCTTTCAAAGGCCAAGGAGACAAGCACTTGTCTTTGTCTCCCATTCCCCATGTTACACTCAAGTGGAGCTTAAGCATTCACCACAGAGACAGGCTCATCACCATTAGCTTCATTGTCTTTGAATTCAAGGAGCAGAAATATCTCTAATGGGAGACACTGATCAAACTTATGGGCCATTGTGATGTCAGCTGAGCACACTGGGCTGATGATAAGCGGGATAGAGGCAGGGAGTCCACAACACTGGGGCAGAGACGTTCAGTAGAAATTCATGGAATGGCTGTCAGCAGGGCTCATAATTATTTGCCTGTCTTTCAGGTGAACTTCAGGATGTAAAGTTGTTAAGTAGTGGTTCCTTCTTGATTGCCTAGAGACTGCTTGATGATATCCACTGTTTCTTGATTTGACAGAGCTTTGCAGAGAACTCTAAGAATGGTCCAACCCTGTCTTGTGCAGCTAATTAACCTCTCCTTGTCAATTGCAGTGCAAGATTTCTTCTTCTTCTTTTTTTTGCTAGACAGTTATTATAATAAGCTATTTCTTCAAAAGCTTGTGATATGAGAGCCCTTCCTGTAAAAGACTTGGCATGCTTCACCCAGAGTCTTTCTATCTTTAGAGGGAATAATAGAGGTGGGCCCAAGAAAAGCCAGCCTCTCTGGCAGGCTGCTGGTGTATGTTGTCCAGTCCTTATTCATCTCTGGCAAAGACCTTTGCCCTATCCACCTAACCCACTTCCACCCTATGTTCACCACAAACCTGTCTGTTCCTCCTCCTTGCTGTCTTGTCCCTACATGTGTGGGGCTGTGATTGGAAAAGAAAATTAAGACCAATGTTAAGAAGTTACCTAATGGAGGGTTTTCGGTACACATATTTTACTTTCTTTCTGCTCATCCTAAAGAAGTTTAGGCTAAACTAAGAACAAAAACAAACAAATAAACAAAAACTTAATTTCAAAAGCCTTGATTGCCCAGAGGTCACTGAAGGGTAGGAGGTCTCCATTACAGAAGCATCTAGGGCCAGCTTGTTTTTGAGTCTTTTTTTTTGTTTTTCTCTGGTACCAGGAACTGAACTCACGACCTTGCGCTTGCCAGGCAGGCGCTTTGCCACTGAGCTAAATCCCCAGCCCCTTGTTTTTGAGTCTTAAGACTGGTAGACACAGAACCTGAACCCTCAGCCACAGCCAGAGGGCTTGAACTTTGAGAGGCGTGGCCCTAGTCTCCTCAGCTGGGTAGGCCGCTTTTCTCTCCTTCCTAGCTTCATAGAGCCCCTCAGGTTGCTGCTCCACAGGTGAGCTGTGGGATGGTCTTCCGATGAGATCATTAAAAGGGACAGCCGTTCAGCTGCCAAGATTTTGCTCTTTAAGGCAACAGTAGTAATAAAAAAATGTTAATTGTGCCAGGATTCCCTTGGGGTAGTTCAAAGGGGACAAAAGAAAAACAGGATCTTTCAAACCTGTCATTTTAAAATATGCAGCAGCACTGAAGTGTGAGCCTGAATATCTTAAAGAAACATCAAATATTTTAAAATGACTTTTCTGCAAGTGATAAGCTGGAGAACTTTTACTTAAAAAAACTGTACAAAACCTCCAAACTCATACACTGCTTGGTTTTTAGTAAATGACTGCATTATTTCCATTTTGAAGAATGTTAATTATATAGTTTCCCATCCAAGGAGAGGGTATGAATTTGCATTATTTATTTTCACAGTAGCCCACATTCTAGATGGTTTTCTCATTCTGGGAGGACCTGTTTGAGGTTGGGGTAAAAGTGAAGGAAAGAAAATAAATAATAGAAGGAAAGAGGAAGTGACAGGAACTGATCACCTACTATGTGCTGGGACGTGGCTAACATTACTTGGTTAATCCTGGGCATCTTTGTTCTACAGAGGCACAAACTGAGGCTTAAGGGAGCATCACTAAGAGTAACAGTAGAATTGATATGCCAGTTTAGAGCTCTCATCCTTTCTCTAGTTCCCTTTCTTTGCATAGAGACAGTAAGGGTTTCCTTTAAGTCTTCTCAAGAGTGGAGATGTTCCTCTTGGTAATAGCTGCTGACTAGCAGCTTAATCCAGTAGGTGGAGAGGCTGTTGAACTCTGTATAGTTACCACCTCCTGAAAACACAGCAGTTTTAGCTTGTTCCTATTCACTTATGTTGTGGGCTCCACTTGCTTACCTCCAAGCGCTCCTTTGACAAGCCAATTCCTGTCACTCCTCTTGCCAAAAGGGCTCAGGTTCCAGCTTATTGCTGATGCTCACCTTACTACTTACAGCCATTTTCCAATTTCACCGGCTCCGTGAATGACCGTGGAATCTGCCAGTGCTCCGTCTCCCTGCCAGACACTACCTTCCCCGTGGTCAGAGTGGAACGCTTGGAATTCACAGCTCATGTCCTTTCCCAGAAGTTCGAGACAGAGCTCTCTAAGGTAAGTGTTTTCAAAAAATGTTCCGATAGCAACACACCAGTAAGCAAAGCACGTCCTTATTCAGGACATAATAAACATCGTGCGCTCTACTGTATCAAAGATGGCATGTTGTGAGCCGTGGTGGTTGTAGTGTGTATTCTACAGCATACATCTGGGTTCCTCACGGCAGGGAAAAATGGGAGCTCAGCAAGGAAGGCTGGATTGAGTTTATTTATACCAGGGGTACACTCATTCCAGACTTGGGCCCTCACAAGTCAGAAAGAGGATGCGAGTTCCCCTTGCAGCCCCCAAGCCTACTATTCTTATTTGGTTTTGTTATTTCTTCTTTCCTTTGCTTTCTTCGAGATCGTTTCTCCAGGGTTTGCTTTCTTTTCTTTTCCCTCTCCCCTCCTCTTCAGTTCTGTCTTCCTTATCTCACCTCTTCTATTTCTGATCCATTCCTGTGTCCTTTTGTTTCTTATTCCCTTTGCCTCAGTCTGTGCTCTTGTGTCCCTGCTAATCTTTCTTTACCTTTATTTCTCAAGTCTTTCTTTTCCTCTTCCTCTTGTCTTTTCTTTTTTGACTCCTTTTAGTTGTCTTAGTTTTATATGATCCCTTCTCCTCCGTTTTTTTCTCTTCATCCCCTTCTTTTGCCCCAATATCTTCTCTCTTCTTCCCTCCCATTTTATATATGTGTATATATATATATATATATATTTTCTTCCTTCTTTTTCTCCTCCTTTTTGTGGTATTTCTGTTCTTTCAGAAAGAGTATTTAATTAAGTGTGTCCATCATTAGACCGACATTGAAGGTTTTCTTTTTTTTAATTTTTTATTTTTATTTTTTGGTTTTTCTCTGGTACCGGGAACCGAACTCATGACCTTGCGCTTGCCAGGCAGGCGCTTTTGCCGCTGAGCTAAATCCCCAGCCCCTGAAGGTTTTCTTTGGGAATTTGAATCAAGACTAATAGACCTCTCAGCCTTGGTTAAAAAACCCTAACTTGAACCCTCTGCTTACCACTTTTTTCCAGCTGACAGAAGTTATCCTAAAGAGTTTGTCTTTTTCTGAGCTGGCAATAGCAAAGTGACTTAGTATTCTACTTTTGACCCCTTTCAGTTTTTTAGTCAAGTTACAAATCAATTAGAAAGCCATACAGGTGAAGTCCAAGCCAGGGCCTAATCACATTATGCATTATTTAACACAATTTCATTAATTTACAAGGAGCTCTGGCTTTACTGCAAGATTCAAAGTTAATTTTCCTGAGAAACTTAATGTTAACATCTCAACATCCAACATAGTTATCTTTTAAAACAAAAGTTTTAGTGAGGCTGATACCTACTTTCAACCTGAATTGGTAGATAAATATTGTAAGTTTAAATGTGTGTCCAGGAAAATGTATTTGACTACTCAAGGAACCTCGCTTCTTAAGAAATAAAATGTCCTTGAATTAATCAGCAGAAAAGGCACAGCACTAAATTATAAATTCCAATCATTAATATTCATAGCCTTATTCCAGCATAATCAAGTACAGATAAGAAGTTATGCATAAAAACATAACAAGTGGAGGAAAATCCTAGGTAAAGATCTTTTCAGTTATAGTCATTTGCTTTGAAATAGTGGAAGCCACTGATTTGCATGTAGTCTTTGCTGCTAGGCCTGTGAAGGGCAATTTGAAACCTCATGCTACTCCAGGGAGGGTACTCAGCTTGCCAGGTTTGTGAATACGGGATATTTAATTCCAATCTGGTGGGAAGAGGGTAGGTGGCATTGGCTTTGCTAATAATTGGTAGAGAAGAAGGCAGAGTCTGTGGGAAAAGTTGTAGTTCTGAGTTCTAGCAGCTGATCCAAAAAAAAAAAAAAATTGTGATTGAGACCTAAAAGAATTTACCTGTCAGCTGGGATTTACATAATTGATTTGGTGCCGCAAGTTATAATAACAATGATAATAATTTGTGTTTTCCAAGTGTTTCCAGTTCTTTTTTCCTTCTCAAGCAAGCTAAGCCAGAGACGCCAGGTATCTTCCCCTAGGTTTTGCAAAGGTAAAGGGGCTTTCCCAAGGTCGTTTTTCTCTTGGCTGTTTGAGCCAGATCAAGAATCTGAGTATCAGGAATCATTCCTGCTTTCTTTCCTCCTGACTAGGCTGTTATCATCCTCCAGTACAGAACCAAGAAGAGATGCAATAGGTTGCTAATGCCTTCAAACTCAAAGTTATCTCTTTAGTTGAGGCAGGTGAATTATTGTACCTGTCCCCAGATTGCCTTGGAAATCACCATTTATCGAGGGGCCTGGGGGAATGCCCATTTTGGGCAGGTCAATAGAAAAGGATTCTGACTGCCTTACATTGATTCATTATCTGTCAGCACACAGAGAAGACAGGGAGCTGCCTCCGCATAAGATGCTGAAAGCCTTTTCTGTTGTTTATGACAAGTCTCTCTTTGTGGCTGTGCTAGGAAGGGGACATGATAAAGGGCAGCTCAGGATTTTTTTTTGTCTGGAGGCTTATGGTGTTTGGGGTAAGTTATTTAATATGACACATTTGCTAATAGATCCTCATGCATGAGAAGGCTGAGGCAGCCTGGGAGAGATTCAGGCAACTCATAAACAAACAACATTGATTGTGCAATGTTTTGTGCAGTGAAATAAATAAAAAGGTCACAGTAGAAAACACCGAAATCACTGCTTCTCTATTAATTTCTATAATTTACAGGACCTCCATTAGCTAGGCACTTAATATACTTTGTCTCTTTATAATAATTTTTAAACTTGATATTATTATTAACAGTTTGGGGAGAAAACTAAAGCTTAGGCAAATTAAGTGATTTCTCCACTAAGAAATGAACTCAGGAGGGGAAGGGAAGGAAGGGAAAAGAAAAAATAGAAAACAAGCTTTCTTAAATGAGGAAGGGAAGAGGGGATGAAAGGAGAGGGAAAGAATGGGGAAAAAAAGAAGAATCAAGCTATATCACGTACAGGTACAAATTCCCTGTGGTGAATGTTATCATTATGCATATCTAAAATGTACCAACACAAGTAATTTAAAAAAAGAACTGAGTGAGATTTGAGCTCAGGTGAGTCTAGTACTGAAGTTCTCTATGTTTCAAGGTTACTTCAGGTTCAATTAACTGAACTGCATTAATTTTCAAGGTAATATTGAAAATAACAATATGTTGAAAATTATGTTTCCTTCTTTTGAATAATCTGGCCATAGATATAATCTCATGTTTGGAGCAACTGACAGAAATATAAACCAGACTAATGCTTCAGTTTAATAGCTTAATTAAATATTACTATATCCTTATTTATGGCAAGACCACATTTATTTTGTCTAAAAAGAAAAAAAGCAACCACTTCAAAATCAGTCTTTAAATAAACCTTGATTCTTCATGACTGAATAAATGCATAGCAGATGAAATAAAATGGCGGCTCTGAGTGTCAGGCTGGTAGTGCGAGCACACTGCTGCCCTTGCAGTGCTCAAATATGCAGTCAGGAGGTAAGATGTTGATCCAACTATGTGTCCACTCAAGGTGAGATCCATATTCTTGCTAGAACATTTTGTGGCATCCCTGGCCTCTAGATGTCAGTGGCACCCACCCATCTCCCAGTTGTGACAGCCAGTACGTCACCAGAAACTGCTGAATGCTCCCTGAAGACAAATCCCTACTACCACACCCCCACCCCCACCACCCTGTGCAGATCCACTGCTCTAAATCTAAGTATTTTCTTTAAAATGGAGAAACTAAGTACAACAAATGCCAGGAATGTGGGGCTAAACATATCCCTGGGCAAATTTAGCTGCCTCTGGGGGGCCGGTACCTCCCAGGAAGAGCTACAGTTTTCACTACTACCCGTGTTGTCCAACGTAACAGCCATATGTGTGGAAGATTGATATTAATAATCTACCTCAGTGAGTAAAGTTCACACTGGGAAGTTTTTCTGGCCCATCTTCAAATTCTTTCTTGCCTTCTGTAATTTGGTGGATAATTCCAGTTTTCCTGAACATCACTGAGCTTTCTGCTGAATGTCAGCTGAAAGAAGCTCAAATTTTTTTTTTTACCCCAAGCAGATTGCGAGACCTTTCCTTTTGTAGCTGAACTGGGGCAGGCTACGCACCTTCTCACGGGTCTCAGACTCCAGGCCATGTCCTGGTTTTCTGTGAAAATCGGGGAGAACCACATTTTACTCGGCAGACTCGACAGCTGAACCACTCAGTTTTGTAGAACAACAGCTGCAATGTGCCACCAAAATGTTTCAGAAAAGCTGAGGGTGTTTCATTTGTTCTAAGGGCTGCTAAGGCCAAATGCCAGCAAGTGCATTCATTTATCAATCTTCCATTTCTGCAATGGACTGGCACTCTGCTTATTATTATTATTATTATTGTTATTATTATTAAATCATAGGCAATGTTTTAGGCCCATTTTTGTAGAAATTTAAACCTGGCTACCTCATATCTGTGTGTATATTTTTGAGGGCAACTTGTTCAGTTACATGTTCCCCTCCCCCCACATACCAAAATGTCACCAGTCCTAACAACATCCCAGTGATGGCACATCTGATGGCAGTGAGCATCATTTGCCTGAGGAGATACACCAGCAATGCCAAGGGCTGTATTTCCAACTTTCATTAAAATCCCCTTTTCCTGAAGCCCTAGCCCTTTAGGTCTGTGGCCTGGGAGTCTACTCTAATTTGCACAGTGGGGTTAAGCGGAGGGCTGACAGAACTTAGGCTGCCTTTGGTATTAGGAGGATTAGAGGTCAGCATGTGGCTCTGCACTCACCCAGGAGCTGTGGATCAGCTACTTGACATTAGAGCAGTTTGGAGAGAAGCATCATTTATAATCAGGCTTTTAAAAAGAAAGTAAAACCAGCAACTTTTAATGAGCGGTTTCTTTAAAAAGCCATGACATTTCTTCTAGAGATCAGACACGGAAAGTACCACCAACTGTTTATTGAAATATCCATTCGGAGATTCCAATTATATACCAAACCACCAAGGGAATTTTTGGAAGTATTTTAACTTAATGATCAGACATTCAAATATATGCAACAAATGTGTAATTTAAAGGTCTGATTGCAATAATCAGTTCTTGGAATAAATGTGAGCGTGCTTAATGAAATGTGCACTTTACAGTTGCACATACACTCACACATTGTGTAGGAAGTTGGGTCTTTTTGCCATTTTGTAAAAGGCAGAGAGGCTCAAAACTTGCTGCACAGGATCATCAAAAGTGGAATTCTACTTAACAGTTTCTCATTTTTCAGCAAAATCCTTAGATTTAAAGCAATGGTTCTAAACAAAGAGAGGTTGTTGGTAGTGATTCGGTCCCCAGAGAACATTCAACAACGTCCCGAGAGATTTATGGTTGTCACATTTGGTGGGTGGGAGGATGCTACTGGCATATGAAGCCGCTGAATATCGTATAGTACAAAGAATAGCATCCTGTAAGAAATTACCTAAAATGTCAGTAGTGCGGAGGTTGAAATATCCCGACGTACAACAAATGTGTTGAAGACAGGAGGGATGGAAATAGACTCTGAGTCAAACCAGTTTAGTTTGGGGAGCTACTATCTTCAAACATTAAAACAAATAGACGTAGATGTAGGTCTAGACATAGATGATATAATGATCCTGAAGCAAAATATTTTTTAGTTTGGGTAAGTGCAATCCTGTCAACCCCCCCATTAAAGTAACATGTTCTTTTAGTTTGCATTTAGATGGTGAGGTAGTCAGCTTTTCAACTACTATGACCAAACACTTAAAAAAGAGAAAAGGTTTACTTAGGCTCATGTTGTCAGACATTGCAGTCCATGGGCAGCTGGCTCTACTACTTTTAGGCCTTTGGTGGGGCAGAAGCGTTATGGTGGTACAGTGTGGAGAAGACATGCTGCTAGTTTCAAGTCAGCCTGGAAGCAGAGAAAGACCAGTTAGCAAGGGCCTGTGCTAGCGACCTTCCTCCTTCTGCTTTTGTTCTATCCAGGCCCCTTCCCTACTGGGTGGCACTGCCCACTTTCAGGGTGCGTCTCCTCCTTAGTTTTCTGTCCCACATGCCAAGCATCTCTGGAAATGCCCTCATACTAACACTCACAGGTGTGGTTTACTAATTTCCTAGGTGTTTGTCAATCCAATCAAGTCAAGATTAACCACAGATAGATTTTAAAAACCTGGCTAAGTATTTTTGGTTCATTTCTTTACCAACACAAAACAGTGATTCATGATTGACAGGAATCACACAGTATCCACGAGTTTGATAGTGAAGGAAGGCTCTTCATACTACTTGAGGAAGTGACTGGGGGTTTTGCTTCCCCTCCAGGTGAAGGAATATGTCCAGTTAATCAGTGTCTATGAAAAGAGACTCTTAAACTTAACTGTCCGAGTAGAGATCATGGAGAAGGACAGCATTTCTTACACTGAACTGGACTTTGAACTGATCAGGATAGAAGTGAAGGAGATGGAAAAACTGATCATACGGCTGAAGGAAAATTTTGTTGGAAGCACAGAAATTGTTGACCAGCTGGAAGTGGAGGTAAGGAGTGAATTCTCATTTAACAGCATATCAATACTAAATGCTTTTCAGTCACTATGGGCAAACGCTAGACTTGGATAGGAATCTCTCTTTCACCAGCTCTAATTCTGTCACTCTTTCATGACACGTGGCACTCCATGTTCAGCTGGAGTGGATGTCTGTTTTTGTATAGTAAGTTAAGCACGTTGGGAACACCTTGACTGAGGAGCAGATGTTGTTTACTGCCCAGAACCCTGCCCCATAACCAGTCTTCCAAGTTCTTCAGAAAGAAGGTGACATGAATCTGGCCAGCTGTCCACGGCCATGCTAATCAGGTGTTTTCTCTGCTTTGGATTTATCCTAATGGGTCTAGAAATCCACAATATACCTAAATGTGAACATGTCAGAACTATTTATCTTTTTGAATGGATATCTAATCTTGATCCCTCTTGGAATTCTTCTCCACATACTGGCAACCTCATTTAAGAAATTTCTTGTGAGTATGTTTTAGTGATGGCTTTTAAGATCTGTGGATAAAGACCATCACATTGATGTTATGGTTGGGTAATTTATATCAATGAGAATTTACTTGCATAGTCATGACAAGAGATATAATTGAGAATTCGAGTTACATATTTTAGAATTTAAGTTTTCTCTAGCCCTCACCATTCATTAGAAACTTAATTATAATACAGCATGAGTAAACATGAGTTTATAGGGGAAGGTTATTAGAAATGAACTTTAATGGACATTTGTGAATGCCTAGAATGAGTCTGTGCTCTATTATTAGGGCTGTTAAAGTCTTTGCCATTTTCTTCTTGTTATACACATCTGCCTGAGATCTGACAGGCGTTCACACTAAACCATAAAATATATTCTTCCAAATGAAACCATTCAGAAGAATCTCTGGTGTATTCTGTAGCAATGTTTCACTAAATGACAAATTCAGCCCTGGAATGTTTATGAAAGAAATTGCACAATAATATAAAGTCAGTCTGAATTTTTATTTCCTTAGATAAGGAATATGACTCTCCTGATAGAGAAGTTGGAGACGTTAGACAAAAACAATGTCCTTGTCATTCGTCGAGAAATTTTGGCGCTGAAGAAAAAGCTGAAGGAATGTGAGACCTCTAAAAGTGAACACACTCCTCTTGTCCCTCCTCCTCCTGCCCCAGGTAAGCACACCGTGTCTTCGTGAACCATGAGCAGGCTGGGCAAGGGATTTGGGGTTGTTGTGGTGGAGGTAGGATAGCATTTTTATTGAGTTTCCTCTTCCATACTTTAAATCCCCTCTTCTTTCTGAGACCTCTTGATCTTTCTCAGAGGACATTTTTCCCTCCTCCAAAGAGTTTTATATTGCGGGGTTCACAAAGAAAGAACACAAACAGCCGATTTAAAACAAACCCACAAGTTACACACATTCCCTTTGTATTCACTAAGGGGAAAGCCATCTCTATGGTGACAGAGGAGCTACCAGGGGCCCTGGGGAAGGCCTAAAAATCTGTGTGGCACCTGCTTTCTGAAGGATTGTAAGGGCTGACTGGCTCGTTATCTGATGAGCTGGGTTTGTGCCTGGACTCTGCTGCTGTTCCTCCCTCCCTTCCTCTCTTCTTGCTTCTCTTTACCTTTCCCAGTGTTCTGCCCTTAAATGCATGTCGAGCTCCTGCTACCTGCTGTGTTGTGGGATTCAGTGAGGACGAGAAGGATGGCCCCACGTGTGGTGGTCTTTCTGGGTGCGTCTTGCCATCTGCAGGGCTGTAAGTTTCTGGAGGGCAGTGTGGCATCTCACTCTTTTACCAGTTCTCCTGGGGTTAAACATATGTTGGAACAGAGAGTTCTGTAAAAACACCCATGGAAGCAGGCAGCCAAGTGGAGGCTTCACGAGCATAGGTTTGCAACCCTGAAGACCTGAGCTTCCTTGCTATGGGGCTATAAGACAAAACCCTTAATTTCTTCACTTTTACAGTGGGAGATTGACAGTACCTACGTTGTAGCGTTGCTATGGGGATTAATAAAGCAGCACTTGGGGAGCTCAGGGCTCTTAATCAGTGCCTATACCCTGGCAATGGATGATATTAGTAATGATGATAATTACAGCAAAAGCCTCACTGTGAGCAGAAGCAGGGCTAGGTCCGTGTGCACTGAAGCACATCCCCCAGGTGGACTAAAGGAGGCCTCTTGCCTGCAGCACTCAGCCCTACCCTTTGGAGACCCCACATCACAGGCAACTTCTCTCTGCAGGCTGCAAGCATCTCAGCTGCAGTGCGACTGTCTCTTGGTATCAAATCCTACAGCCTTTATTATTCTTATTCATTCCAGTCCTTGCAGCTTGTTTCCTTCAGGACTGCATTTCTTGTCCCTTGTCAGGGCCTCTGATTTATTTAAGACATCCATTAGATATGGTCACACTCATCAAGCCTCTTGATCTTGTTCAGGGGATACTTTTCCTGCCTACAGTTAGGAATCTGGCCTTGTCTGACATCAGAGGCTGTTTAGCGTGAAGACCTTGGTCTGTGCTCTGTAAAAAAAACAAGGCTAAATATGGTTTGGAATCAGTGGTCTCAACATGTGCTGGAAGTGAGAGGTGGTTCTTTCGGCCCACAAGGGCTCGCTGACCCAGAGGTCAAGTGATACGACAACCTCTGATCATCAGCAAACAAGTGTCTCCCTCCCTCCGAAAGTACCCCTCACGGAGTGGGTTTTTCTGGCATAGTTTTCTATAAATCTCTTAGAATAAGGACAATTTAGAGCAAGGGGCACTTAGGGCCATTGAAATTAGTCTGTTCATGTCTCAGAGGAGGGGACTTGAGTGGTGAGGATGCTGCTTTTCCTAAGGCTACACAGGTAGCTGGCAATAGAGCTGAAGTTGACATGCAAGGGTCTTCACTTCGGACTCCCTGACATCTAAGTGTGTTGGATGTTAGTAACCCAAGGATGGCTGTGAGGGACAAATTAAACTGCTTGGCATCTAGAGAGGAAAACAAGTGAAACTGTTGGATTATTTTTGTTAGAATTTTTTCAGAATTGTCCCCTCAGCCCTCACACTTAGACTTCTGTGAACCGTCTCAGCCCTGCTGTGTTGTTTAAGCAAATTGAACCCAGATTTGCCCTCACTTTCCCACAACTTCGGCTGTACCTGGGTCCCTGCCAAGCCACTTGGCCCTCCTCCAGCTTTGTTCATATTATATTTATGATGTTTATATTACACTGACTTTTGTCCTGTTTTTAAATCAATTTCTTTCACTTGCTCTCTTTTGGTTTAGATTGGTTGATAATGCAGAATTGGAAAATCCCCAGGCACACAAAGTTGTGAGCCTGCGGAGACTTTAATTAAAGTTACTCACTATTATGAGACTTGAAAATCTGGCCTGTCTGCTTTTTTTTTTTTCACTGCAGAGTTGCACAGAACAAAAAGGGCTGTGTGCAAGTCTCAGCTATAAAGTAATTCTGCATTTTCGCCCTTGCGGCTGTAGTCTGTGAATTCTGTGGTCAGCTTGAACTTAGATTCAGTACGTGTATTTGGGATTTTAAAGCGCACTTTCTATTTGTTTTTTTGTTGCAAACAACATCCCTTTCTGCTTTGTTTCATAGAACTTTCCAATTTAAAATAATTGGCCTTCTCTTCATTAACTTTTTCCCTTAAAACAACTAACTTCACGCTCTCTTTTTCTTCCAAATCTAAGTGATTGAACACAGCAACGTGGAATGGGAATGCCCTGTGATCAGTCACCACCTTGCTTGGGGATCTTGGTTCTGCTGGTTCACAGCAGGTGTTCAGTACATGGCTGGCGATTGAATGGGTCTGAAAAACAGGATGACCTGTGGGAATCCCAGTGCTAGAGAAGACTGTTACCCAGCAGATAGCCAGTAATTCAGAGTCAACTTAGTCTTACTTTTTTATGATTAGGATCACTTAAATTGCTTAATTTGTTACAAGTCAATCATATTCTCTCTCCTTTTGGTTCAAACAAAGTTTAGTTGACTGGGTAAGAGAGTGCATTTTTAGCACCTTGACCCAAGATTAAGGTTCTCTGTAGGTGTAGAATTTTTGGTTTTTTAAGAAAACTATCCACAATTTTGTTTTTGTTTTATTTTTTGAAATAGGGCCTTATGTGGAGAAAAGGCTGGTCTTGAACTCACTGTGTGGCTCAGGCTGACCCTGAACTTGCAATGATCCTCCTGCTTCTGCCTCCCAAGTGCTGGGCTTATAGGCATGGACCTCCATGCCCAGCTCTGTGATTGTTTAAAAAGCCAAAAAGAGACAGTTTAAAGTCCCACTACTGTGGCTTCCTTGGATATTTTCAGAATACCAGGGAAGGACCTAGTGAACTGTACAGGGAAGAGACTGCCAACTAAAACTGTGCTTGTACGGAGGATTCCTCGCATTCTGTCCTGTGGAGTAAATAGTAGGCTCTTTGAAAAATCAGATGTGTAGCAGTGTGGGGGAAGTGCTTTATAAATGAAGGTAAACTGGAGTTTAGGTCTTTTGTTCTTTTATTCTGCAAATGTAGTTTGGTGCCATTGTGTGACTGGCCATGTTCTGGGTACTGGGGTTACTGGGATGGACAGGGAAACCTCCAGAAGTGACTACCGAGGAAAGGAAAGGGTCATGTAAACCTTCACCTGAGACATGATGTGGTTATAGATGACTGCTGCCACTCACTGAGTTGCTCTCCACACTTTCTTTTCTGTTCAACAGTCTTCAGAGTATTATTTTTCTTTTAAGATGAGGAAACTAGGCTTAGTACAAAAAATAGGATTATTGGTATTATAGTAGTAGTTGTAATAATAATTTTTGGGAAGTTAATTTTGGTTCCTTCAAATTTCTACATCCAGAGACAGAATGGTTTATCTTTAACTCCACAATAATGCTTGAATGAGTTATAGACATCATAAATTTTTCTGAAATACTTTGTTACTGTTGGTTTGTGGTATTTTCTTTCTAGAAAGTCAAGGCTCAATGAAGCAAACAATTCTTAAATCTTCTAACCTGAAGGGGAAAAAAGTGACTTTCTTTCATTTCCTCACAGTGAAATGCAGTTGAATAACTAAATTCTCAGAAAGTTATTTTAAGTAAAAAACCCAGTTTGAGCATATGGAAACTGGAACAGTTTTTGTTCTCATTAAACTGAACACACCACTAACTTTATTTTAATAATTCATACATTATTTCATAAACAAAGCAAACAAGCATTCATCTGAGAGATCACTTTTAGGAGGAGAAATAATAATTTATAATTTTATTTATTATTTCTTTAGTGGAGAGCAGTCTCTTGGCTGAACACCCGTTGCTTTTTTATTTATGAAATGGCGCATGCATTATTAAAATAAACCTGCGACTGTGTTGTGTTTAATGATATGCAAAATTATTTGAGGTTGGGTACAGAGTGGTTTCATTTTTCTACCGGTTGTATGGTTGGCTGGATTTCCACCAACTGTGGATATATGAGAGCATTTAAGGAGCATGTATTTAATTCTGAGAACAAACAGTCCCAGCAGATTGGGAAAATAAAAACAAAATTCCAGTAATGGTTTCACCTCTGAGCACTTCTTGATTGAGGAAGAAACAGAGGGAAGCGTGCAGCAAGGGGAAGAATGGATCTTTCCATATTGGCCAAAGGCAGAGACTCAGAAACAAGAGTTTTGCTCCCTCTATCCCCACAGTGCTAATCTCAGGCAATTTTGTGAAGCTTTGATTTTGACTCCAGCTCACTCATGTGCCTTCCATAGCTCCCTGATTCTCCCCAAGCACTGAAAGTCTGATCCAGCCATTCAAATTCTGTTCCTTCCTCCCCTCCCCTTCTCTGCTTTGGGTAGCAGGATGAGGGAAAATGACCTTTTGTATACTTGAAGTTGGATTTTGTTATCAATAAACCATATCCTCAGTTTTTAAAAGAAAATAGTATTTGTTAAGATCCTATAAAAATATGATTCAATTCTTTGTTTAGTTATTATAAAAATATTAGAGGAATTTTATTTCATTTTTTATAGCTCATAAATGCTTTGGGTTGGCAAGCTTTTCAGAGGGACTGCAATGTGAAGGCCAGTTGGCTAGCCTCGTCATTTACCCAAGTGTTACAAGGAATGTAGATTCAATGGGCCTGTGCATCTGTTCCCACTTGGTTGTACACATTGTGACAATGAGCATGTCAGAATAGGAAGGGTGAATATACGCCTGTTGTTCCATAGCACCATAGCATATGGGTTATGAACAGCGGGACTCAACTCCTAACTCCAGCAAAATGGTCTCCCAGTGATTTATATGATGGGCTATGCACTTGGCATGGAACAGGTATTGCTGGCCTGAAATAACTTCCTGTCTTCTCAAGGCTGAATCCCACCATTATAAGACCATCTTTGTGGACCTATAACATGCTATATGTAAAATTTCCTCTTCTGAGATTAGCTTGGAGCAGGATTGGTGCCTTGCATGGATATGTACTTGGGCACTCAGGGAAGACAGAGGAGGAAGGGCATGGAGACTCATCAAGAACCATTTTCTCCTTCATCACAGTTGTTCCTGGGGCTGACCATGGCAAAGAGCACCTTTTCACTTTATGAAAATAGAATAAGATTCTGGAGTGATCTTATTTTTCTTAATTTCTGTGTATCAAAAATGGAGTAAGGTAATATTTGCAAAAATACTTTCTGTTAGAAGAAAATGTATTAATGTCATCAATTTCCCCAATATTTTGCTCTCTGGGCCCTCTAAACCATTAAATATGGCTCTTGGCATTTTATTATTCCTCCTTCCCAGACTGCGAGCCTGTCTATGGAAGCAGAAGGTGGTTCTCGGTAGGTCTGACAGTGGCTTCACAACGAGATTAAAACCAAGAGGGGTTTGTGTTATTCTTCACCTGAGTTGTCATTGTCATTGAACTTTGACAAGAAGAGTATTGATGGATGCTTTGCTTTGGGGATATCAAGTTGTTTGTATCCTGTCATTCATTTTTTTCTAAGAATGTCTTTTTAAATTTTCTTTTCTACATAGGAAGCTGTAATCATGGAGGTGTGGTGAATGTCAGCAGGCCATCTGTGGTTCAGCTCAACTGGAGAGGGTTTTCCTATAAGTATGGTGCCTGGGGTCGGGATTATTCTCCTGAACATCCAAACAAAACACTGTACTGGGTAGCACCTTTGGAAACAAATGGAAGGGCACTTCAATATTATAGACTCTACAGCACATTGGATAACTTGCTGTTGTACACACAAATTCGAGAATCTCAGATTAGCTCTGGCCAAGGTAGTGGTACGACAGTTTACAAGAACAACATGTATGTCAATTGGTACAACACTGGGAGGATTGCCAGGGTTAACCTGACCACCAATGCAGTGGCTGTGGATGTATGGCTCCCTAACGCTGCCTATAATAACCGTTTTTCATATGCTAATGTGGCTTGGCAAGATATTGACTTTGCTGTGGATGAACATGGACTGTGGGTGATTTATGCAACTGAAGCCAGCACTGGTAACATAGTGATAAGTCTACTCAATGACACCTCGCTTGAGGTGCTAAACACTTGGGTTACCAAGCAGTATAAGCCATCTGTTTCTAGCACCTTCATGGTATGTGGGGTTCTTTATGCCACCCGTACTTTAAATACCAGAACAGAAGAGATTTTTTACTACTATGACACAAACACAAGAAAGGAAGGTAATCTGGCCATTTTAATGCCAAAGATGCAAGAAAGAGTGCAGAGCATTAATTACCACCCCTTTGACCAAAAACTTTATGTGTATAATGATGGCTACCTTCTCAATTATGATCTTTTCTTCCAGCAGCAACCCAAGTAAAGTGTCTAGGTGTTGGAGTGAAAAAGAAATAAAATGTTTGTTGTAAATGGTCTTCTCTCTTATTTAGATATATGCAGGAGTATCTAGAAGTATTTCTCTTTAATGGTGATATTTAGGTACAGAATCTTGCATCACTGGATACCTAGGATAGTTGTCCTGATCTGATGATGGGCTCTCTTGGGAGTCTTCTGCTTCTTGGGATGCATTATCCAATGGGAATAAGACTCTTCAGGATGAGATTGTTAGAGGTGAATGGGCAAAATGAGTCCAACAGAACCTATAGTAAGGAGGCTTAAAAAACTATGAAAAAAATTAGGGAATTCGTATAGATTCTGTTGGTTCTTTGTACAAGAAAATTTGCTCAATGAACAGTTCTTGTTTATTATAGCCTCAATACTTCTTCTATGCCTAAAAAGAACCTGAGGCTTAATAAGGCAGATTAATATCTGAAGGTGCTCAAGTGACTAAATCTTCAACTTTGTCTTCTCACTCACTCTTGGAATAATGCTTTGTAAATACCAGCTAAGTAAACTGGTACTGGAAAATGCTCTGAGTTTTCTGAAGAAAGAACCTCTTATGCATTAAATTGTATACTGCCTATCAATCTTGGAAGGATCTTCAGATGAGGCACTTGATTTTTTTTCTCCTCTTTTCTACCAGTTTAAGAGTCAGCAGAACTCTTTACTTGTAATTTAATTTGAAAGGCACAGCATAAGAATCAGACTTACCAATCAGTGCTCCCAACCTCTCTCTACTGCTGGCATTTTTTTGGTAAACAACGACAGCAATAAACATTAGCCAGTTTTCTATGGGATAGGCATAGGATAAAAATTAATTTTCCTTTGTGACATCATGAACTTTTACTTAGATGGTTCTGGGTTATAATAAAATCAGATGACAAAGATAAAATGGTAGCACTTATGGTTAGAGAGTAAATACTTGGGGCATATGTGAGAGTTGGATCAATTATTTCATGTAATTTTTGTTTTTGTTTAAGTCTGGAACTTATAAGACAATGAAAATTTAATTTGTTCTAGGAAGAGATGTCAAAAATCTGTGTAGAGTATCTGATAAATCAGTGCATTAATTGAAAAATGTTGCAGGTTTAGGTGGGCTTATACTTTTGGATGGCTTTATTTTCTGGTTTTAGCTATTTTATATGATGTTTAAATCCTAATCTTAGGATTGTCTACTTCAATGCTGTACTCCTCTTTTTTACAAAAATGATTAAAATGTCCTTTGGAAAAAAACAGTTGTCTTTTAATTTATTTATTTTTTTAAATTACAATAAGGATCCAACAAAATCTTAACAGAGTAGTCTACGTCTTGCTGTGAATTGTAGAGAATGGCTACCTCCCAAACACCTATGGCCAGAGATCACATACCTAACAACATAATCCATAACTTTCAAAAGGAATCCAAGGTTGGGCTGACTTTTTAGTTCTCATTTATCCTTCAAATCCATTCTTTCTGGCAGCTTTTATTATACTGGAATGCCCTATCGTCTTTTGGGATATGACCTTAGTACTTATTAATTTGCATGACTGATCTGATTATTTCCAATGCTAGATTATATTTGTGTGCCTTGGGTTCCTTTCCAATTGAGCTACTAAATAACATGGATCAGTAGTCTAGCTCTCCCTCAAGCAGGAGGTCTTCGATAGAAAGCAGAGGGACTAATTGGCTGTGTCAAGAAACTTTTCCCAAAGGGAATGTAGGGGGACAAGTGCCTTCTAGCCCGAAGGACAAATAGACTCAGGTGATGTGGTGTTTCTACTGAAACATTATTTTAAATCCATGCCAAGCTTTTTGAGGCAGTTGGAAGTGTCAATGTTTAGTATTTTTAGCAAGATTTTTCTCCTATCTTTTCTGGGGTGCATGAAGAGACAAGTATGCTCATCAAAATGCAACAAGATATGAAGATAAAGACATATACATCATGGGAGATATAGGTTAAAAACAGTGATGTATTTCATCTGATGTAAGCCAATTTTCCAGATGAATGTTTCTACCAGGTACACAGCATAGCCTCTGAAGAGCTGGGAAAGGAGACAGGAAGACTAGGTAACCCTTGCAATCAGCTTCTTATTGGAACTGCCGCAGAAGCCTTTTCCTGAAAACTCATTTCAGAACCTCCCTCCCATTGGTTTCAGTATCAGTCTGCAGTGGCTGCTGCCTGCAGGAAATCTGCCCTCTGGGAAGGTTGAATGACCGAGGGATTTAGGCTGCTGAGTTTTCTGCAATGCAGTTACACAGTGGACAATTTAACTCCAGATTTATCAGCTAGTGCTTGTTTGGAATATATTTAAATATATCTATATATATATTTTAAGAAGATTTGTTGAAGTGTAATTTACATATGGTAAAACTTGCCAATTTTTAATCTAAAATTCAATGAGTTTTGAAAAATGTACAGTCACATAAATTTTACAATTAGAAAATAGTACAATATCATCATACCTAAAACATTTACTTACACCATTTTGCAGTTAACTCACACCCCACCTTCCAGCCTCTAGTGAGCACTGATGTGCATTTTCTCCCTACCTGGCAGATTTACTCTTTCTAGAACATCACAGGCATGGAATGACATACAGTGTAACCTGTTGTGTCTGGTTTCTTCAGCTTTCCTTGTGAAGAGAACTAGAGGGTTCAGATCACCCAGAAGTTATCTAGGAACTTCTGGGTGATCTTGGGGCTCCCTATATATATTTTTTTATTATTTCTCTTGAACAGGTGGTTGTTGAGAGTTGTGGTAAACTACTGCCCTTATAACTGTTCTCCAGTGGCCTGGAGATGCCATGGAGGGAGGGGTCCAGCTCTTGGCATCAATCAGACTTACCCGGCAGCACTTCCAAAATATGGATGGCTTCTTGTCACTAGCCGTGCCCAAGGTTTGTTCTCTGACTCCCTACCCTGCGTCTTACACATTCCTACCCAAGTGGGTCCTGATACCAGTCACAGATGCATAGAGTGGTTGTGAACAAAGAATCCCATCATACAGAAGTGGGTTTGACTCCTTTCACTGCTTATCAGTGGTATGGGCTTGGGCAGGTGCCCTTAACTTTTTTAAGTCTCAATGTCTTTTTTCTGTAAGATGGAGTAAAACCACCTAGCTTGGAATCCTGTGGTGTGAATTAAATGATATTAAGTATACACATTGTCTAGTAAAGTCATCGGCATATGCTCTGCCCTTCATGCAGAATAATCGGTTTCTCATTTGAAATTTCTGGTTCAAAGTGGTCACTGAGTTGGCAAGATATAAAAATAGCTGGAATTAGAGTTTTGGTCTCCTCCCTGAAATAGTTGCTGCCACTAGTAACTCTTGAGAGCAGGTGCATCTGGGCCTGGAAGGGTTCCAAGGCAACATCCTCTCTTTGTTTGTCTTCAGGATTGGTCCTCAGAGCTGAGGCTTTCTATACTTTGACTCCAAAAGACAGGCCAACCTGAAGAGAAGAGATAGTCTATTGCCCTTTTCTTTTTGGTGTTCCAAAAAGAAGGGCCTACCCTTCTCTGTTGATAAGACTAAATTAGATGCATATGTTTTCCTACTTGCTTTGCTGTAGGCCACAAGAGTTGTCAGTCTTCAGAAAAAAAGAATGGATTCTTGTTTTGTATTCCTCTCTTAATAAAATGCACAGATCTCTTGGGTTTGTCTCCATTACTAACCTTGGTAGTGTATTCCACCCCCTTTTTTGGTTTGTGAAACACTGAAAATGGAAGCCTGGAAAGGAGGGATCAGGAACTACTCTGAGCTATGTCAGGATGACGTAGGGGGGTTCTGGGTCTGAGCCTTTACTCATCTCAAACAGATGTCACCTCATGAAGGGCAATTAGCCTCCTGTGCTCCAGAATGTTCTGGAACAATGAAAGGGCGAATTGTGACACATCAGAAAATACAAAGCGGGCACATTTCTAAGGCACGCTCCCAGTCAGTGGAACAGACCAGCTGGCCTGGCTCATGGGTGAGAGAAGCTATTGAGTTGTCAGTTCAGCTGCCAGGTCCCACATCTGTAGCTTGGGATGCACCCGCTTGTCTCTGAGATCTGCATCTGCTCCTGGAATTCATTCAGGGAGAGCAGCTCTTGGAATCTACATCTGTGGTGGAGAAAGGTGGCCTCCAGGCCATCACAAGGAGAGTTTTTTCCTTGGGTGCCACCCCTGGACAGCCTGGAGCCAAGATCTGCTGTGAGAATAGTTTCCCAGATCTCAGCCTCCTCCGAGGAGTGATACAGTGTGATCCATGGTGTGTGAGAGCGGCCTTCCACACGCTTGGCTGGGGCTCCCTGGATGTGGAAGGAGGCAGAGAATGAGGATGGAATGATGGACAGGCCAAGGTTTATTGGCCACCAAAAGAATGTTGTTCCTGTGCTTCTGCCCCAGGAATTTCTTATGATGCAAAGTATCTCAAACATCCTCTCTTTTTTTTTTACTTCAGGTTTCTTTAAAGTCACAAATAAAAATTGTACATATTCAAGGCATAAAACTTCTGTCACATATACATAGTGAAATGATTGGCATGACTGAGCTAATGAACATGCTCACTGCTCACATAGGTACGAAATCTCCCTTTCTTTAAGTTAGATTCTGCCAACTCATGTGTTGTCTTCTGCCTGTGACAAAATCTTTGTAGTAACGGGGACAGAACCCAAGGCCTTGGGTGTGTGCTACAGTCTCAGTCCCAATAATGCTTTTTGCATCAATTTTATTGGTGACTGATTCCGACTTTTGCTTTGGTGAGTGTTTTAATTAGGGTTCAGTGTAGGAACAGAAATGACTTCTTTAATTATGCTGCTGCTAAGTGCTCTGTTAGGTAAAGCTGATTCTCTTGGTGTCTTAGCCCAACAGCAAGATTTTTCTCCCTGGTCAGGGTCCACTGATTTAATGTCATGTCCTTGTTTCTTTGAACATCTTGCTCATTCCCAGTGCCTTTCTTCTCTCCTTCATATTCAGTTGTCTTTCTGTCTGGTGTCACTGTAGTGGGAGAAACCTCTTTTAAGATGCCTCTCTTCCAAGCAGTGATGCAGGGACCCAGACTCATTCTCTCTGGTGTCCCCTTACAGCTGCAAAGTCACTGTGCTCATGGTGCAGCTGGGAGGGAAAAGACTGCAGGATTTTATGTGGGACAGTGGTTTAGCTCTAGTTGGATCTGGTGTCCAGCATTTTGTTCATAGCGCATGTTAACATAGGGCTCCAGCTAGCTGCAAGGACACTGGGAGCCATTATGTCTAGAGGGTGTGCAGGAGAAAAGCAAATTGGCTCATGAGCAGTCAGCTGCTCCAGATATTACAGGAAAAGGATATGACACAGAATTAAGTGCTTACAAAACTGGTGAAAAAGCTGGAGGTGCAGTAACGAGAGGCTGCCATCTAACATTGAGTTTCGCGGTTACACCACTACCTACAGCCCAGAAATCAAGAAATCTGGCACTGCCTTTAGTGTCATCCCCACGTCCTCCACACTGGAACCCAACAACACATAAAACTGGAGTCCATCTGCTGCAAACACTCACCTCTGCTGGTGCCCCTCACCTCTCTGCGTGGAAATCCTTCTGTGTTCCAAATGTAGCAGGAGTGGATCATGTTAACTGACTCTAAAACACAGCTGGGGCTGCATCTACAAAGACTTGGACATGGAGTTTTAGTTTTTCTTCATTTCAGATGCAAGGAAGATGAGAAAAGAGGTTGGAATTTGGTGCCAGACAGTATTTGGCACCTCAATTTCATTTGGTGACTACTGTTTTTGTCCTTGCTGATGTTTCCATTTTTGTCCTTGATAACTGCTGCTTTAGTTTCTAAATCCTACTTATCCTCTTAATCCTGTAGTCAATTCTGTAAAGAATAACCTTCCTTTACATGTGTTTTAAACTGTGAAAGTTGATAAGTGACCAATAAAGTTACAGTTTTAATGTTGTCTGTACAGCAGAATCACCCAGAGGCTTATCCTTGTCTAGGCCAATACTCTTACGAAGGGATGCTGATGCTCTTGATCTAGGTGCGATCCAGCCACTGATACATAGATTTAAAGATTCTTGTGTAGCTGGATTGGGAACACCTTATTAAACAAAGATGGAATTTTTGACTCAAAATTCTTGAGTCAAAATCTTTGGGTAACCACCAAAGGGGGTGGGCTCAGAACCTAGATGGACTTTGGTAGATTTCTATGTGTTTGCTGTAAATACTAGGCACAAGGTGTCTTGATAGTAGAGGCTGGGACTATCCCTTCAGTGCCACTTGTAGGGGGTGCTAA